TAGGGCAAGTCCAATTTCCAAGTTGGATAGGAAAATTAGTTGCCCTGAATAAAATTCACTTGCCATCAGACAATGGTCACTGGGGTACCTACTGTAGGTAGGGGGTATAAATTAAGGGGACAACATGTCGACTCTTTCTTCCACTGCTCTAGATGCCTCAGATCTAGCTTTGGCCCACAAAAAAACAAAATTTGAATCCATGCACAAGTACAACATGCACTGTTTAAAAAATTTATCCGGCAATGAAAACATAAATTTAAAGATGCCCAGCTTTTTGTGGCAATGATATTCACTTCCCCGGGCAAGTGTTAAGTTAGAAGTTACAACTCTGTTACTTGTTGAAAGCATGATATAACTTGGCATCCTTAACCAATTAACCACCACCACTCTCCCACTCACAAATAAAATATTCTGGCGTAAGACAGGAATACAATAAAAGGTGCGATGCAACTTCATGGGTTAAAATTTGAAATTTTGACTGTGGGACCATGATTTCTGGGACTCAAATTGACCATAGTGACTCAAATTTTCCCACAAAAAGAAATCAATAATTTATTTGTAATCATTCTGTTATGTAGGATAGAGTTTACAACATGAGAAAGAATTTTTGAACAGCCAAATCCATTAGATAGGTATAAAATGTAAGGGCAATGTTGTTGGTATTTGTGATTTAATATGCTATTGTCTCATTCCAGAAAACATTCATATGGTTATGATTTAACCTCAGTTGTATTGGAGATACAAGTGAGGTTAAATCAAGTGCTACTTGTTTCAGTAACTCATTGAGTGATAGCACTGACAGGTAAAATCATCTGACATTGGACCAATGCGGCTTATGCAATGTCCGGCCTAGTGTAATATCCAGTTAACACCCCATCTCAGCAACCAGCCAAACTTCTCGAGAAGTATTCCTGTTTTAATGGGTTAACATGGCCATGATGTGTCTGAAAATTGTGCCCTGATGTGCCCTACCTCCTTAGTTTACTGTCTTTTGAATGCCACATTATTGTTCTCTGTCTAGCGTCAGACCATTTTACTCATCATGGCTAAGTGGAGAGTGCTGGACTGCTGGTGCCTAATTTATTAATGGTTTTTTAAAAGATAATTCAATTTACTGTAACTTTGGATGCACATGTAGAAAGAATACTACCATTGTGAATAGTTTAGTAGTTTTATGCTGTTGTAAGCTTGGACTGTTTTTACACTATAAAGTCTGCAGTAAATACACAGTCATTTAGACCCATTTAATTATAAATTGCTCTTAAGGCCTATTTAATATGATCCCAGGCTAGACATTTGGCATGATCCAGCTTGCAATATATCGACTGTTTACAGTAAAGTGAATTATTCTACTTCTTTCTGGTCTAGACAGGATCTCATTATTTGTTGCCGGGATCACCCCCTGCCAGGACAAGAAATTCTCATACAAGCACTTTATCATCCCTGCCAGGCCGGGTGTATTCCGTCTATATAAACACTCCATCCTGGGGCCAGTTGTTCAAAGCTGGGTTAGCTTAACCGTGGGTTAACCTAAACACTTCCTTACAGCTTGTCTATAAATTTGAAAATTTTTCTTCAGAGATCTTGTCTGGATTGATAGGAGTTTTCTTCTCTGAAGTTTCCAAATAAACAGACATGCAGAAATACACCAACTAAAACAGCTGGTTAAATTTTAACCTAGGGTTAGCGTTAACCCACCTTTAAACAACCAGCCCCTGGATTAAAAACTTCCCGTCCAGCCATGCCATTATCACATAAACAGGCACATATATACAGGGCTCTAAGACATGTTAAAAACCAGGCAAAGCACATTCTGGCTGAATGGGTTAAGTACTTAATTTAAAGTCAACCATTTACATGCTAAAGCCAAGATACAGTATATGCACTGAATTGATAATCTTAATTCTATGATTCAGATAGATAAGATTGCGATTTACTCAAGTTTAATACTCTCAAATAATGTTCATGTTTTGGCTTTAATACTAGGCTTGTAGCAATCAGCAATGTAGCCATATTTATATTCATATAACATATTGTTTTATATACTAATACTATGTGGGTTCAAACATGCTTTCTCGAGTTTTGTCAAACAAGTGAAACCCAGTATTTACTATAATGTGTTTATTCAAAATTCGAATTGTTGATTTTAACTAACATTTGACGGCATTGAAATGAAATAATTCAATATATAAAACCTCGCGCGCAAATTCAAATTTTAGCAGCCACAACACTACAACAGGGCCAACAGCCAATTGAGGCCTAACAGCCACAAGATAAAATGGGTAAATACGGTCGATGTACGTTATAATTATATGATATAAACAATAATATTTCATACCTGAGATCAATAAGCCTTCGGCAGGATTCGGAGTCACTTATCCATTACAAAATAAGATAAATACCATGGTCTTCTTGGGCAAAATATGCTCAAACGAAAAAGTCGAAAATTTGCAAATCACACTAGACATTTGATACACGATATCCCAGAACTCATTGCGCGCGTGGCCCTTGTCTTCTAAAATACATACACCAAAAAACGCTCACAATCTATCGTAGCGCTAGCTTGAAACTGTAGGAAGCATTAATCTGGCGGTCTCTGGCCAAAAAATTATTATAAAAATGATGAAAATTCTTATGAGCGAATAATGTGGTAGATTTTCTAAAAAAGTTATATGCCAATTGCAATATAAATATAAAATTTTTATGGTTTATTACAGTATTAACGTATCATTAATCGTGATGTAATAACATGTGGTGATATCTATACGCAAAATCTTGGGTAAATTTACACATAAATTTTTGCGGTGGATCATACCATCTTCATTAAAGTGTAGATAGACGATTGTTGCAAATGATTTGAATTCATGTACTGATGTTATTTTTCAATAACAATTTATTGGCCATATACAAATTCATTGTGATATCTGCCATGTTGAAACTGCGACAATTCAGGACAGAGCCGTTCAGCTTCAAATTTGACAAAAAAGTGAAAGATATACAACAGAACTAGGTTGAATTCAATTCAATATCATATCTCGTTTCGGCCATGCAAAAGTTGCCGTCCGAAAGAAAGGTTTTGATATATGCGATAAATAATATTACTTCATTTCAAGATTGTTTTTCTAATTATAAGAATATTATTCTAGGATGGAAAAATTTATTCTTAAAATAAGAAAAAAATTCTCTCGAATATTCTTGCCTAGTTATATTTTCTTACTGTAAGATTTTTGTTCTTAAAACTAGATTTTTTTTCTTGAAATATTTCTTGATAAGAAATATTTACTTAAAATAAGAAAAATAATCTAAAAAATAAGAATATTATTCTAGACTAGAATTCGATTTTTTGCATATATATATATATATATATATATATATATATATATATATATATATATATATATATATATATATATATATATATATATATATATATATATATATATATATATATAAAATAAGTGCAACGACTCAACAAATTCCACTATAGGCATCTTTATTACTATTAGTTTCGTACCACAAGATATGGGACTCATCAGATAAATTAGCCTTATGACTACAGCAAAAAACCTACAGTATTTATGTACAAGTGGATGAAAGCTTTAAATTAATCCTATTTACAAAGCACGCAAAGCAATTATTTTATTATATTTATAATTTTATAAAGTGCGATTATTTTCAACGCGGGATTGTTTATAAAGAGTTTCTGTATATCTTAAAATTTAACTGATAGGTACTCGGAGTTTTACGCCTGAGTTTCACACCTTAATCTGATTTGCGGAGTAATAATTTAGCCGATTAAGCACATGCAGTATACCGGCTACAAACGAACCTTGCATATATACATCAAGTTCAATGACAATTTGCGATATTAATTGCCCCTACATTATAGGTTCATTTATTGTCGATTAAAGGCGTAAAGCAGGGCGCTGTGTTTTAAAGAGCCCTGCTTAGTATGTAATATACTGTTGTTTGTAGACAATAAACAATATATATTAAACTGATTGTATTGCTGACTTCACGGCTGCATGTATGATGCAGATCAGGACGCAAAGCCACGGTATGGCATATTAGTACATTTAAAACGCAGAATACGCGGTCGCCACGTAGTATATGTGCGTGGAACGCGTATTATAGGTTTGATTATTTGGTTTATAGCCTAAGTGCTCGTATAACAATACTGCCGAGAACTCGTCGCTAACCTGACCTTAATATTGTATTTTTTGTGACTTTTGAACCCTCGACTTTTAACCCTCGACTTTTTACTCTTAACTTTTAACCCTCGACTTTTTACCCTCGACTTTTATATAACGCTCACCCTCGACTTTTTACCCTCGCCCTCGACTTTTTACCCTCGCCCTCGACATTTAACCCTCGACACTCGACCAATAGATAAACTCCGGATTACTGGGTGTTTTACGCATTGTAATTAAGGTTTCCTTCAATTGCGTCACAACATTCCTTTAGTTATTTAATATGTTGGAAATTTCATGTTATCCCGTTGTTCCGAAATGAGAAAGAAATTACGTTTCCCCCCTAATTATTCCAATGAATAAGCAATTTCCATACAATTTTGTGCAAATTCCCTCCAGAAAACGTCGAAACGGTGTTGGCTAACGTTCGTGCATTTGTGTCTTGGTACCGGACAAATACCCATTAAATAGCGCCCACCGAGTAAAACCTTAATTAATATTGACGGATATTTTACATTGTTAAATGTCCGCCACTATTGACGTTCGCATTTTCAAGATAGATTTGACATGCCGAGTGAACATATTTTCGACATTTTTTATAAATAAACATGACAGATTTAAATTAACGATTAATTCCTATTGGAAACATTTAAGAGCCAACCTGGCAAGAGCGCAAAGTGGATGGCCTCCTTTCCCCTCCGACGCCCGGGAAGTTAAACCCACGAAAAGGAAGGACCGCTCGCAGTCTTTATTAATTAAACTTTGTTATGAAGCCAGTAATCCAATAATTATCGTCTCACTCTGTGCCAAGTACAATGAATAACGTTCCTTTGTCTCCTGACGGGAAGACGTCGATTATATAAAGACGTCAGACCTTCTCTCGATATTTTAAAATTGACTTTCCCGAGAACACTAAGCAAGAGTAGAAGACGTGCTAGAAGGGGGAAATCGGCTGTGTTTTATAAGGTATGTTCAATTTTTAATACCATACGTTAACGTTCCCCAGACTTTAATAAGTACCTTTCGTGCAATTTTCAACTTTCCCATCGTGTGGTATTACAAAGCCAAAGGGGCTGTGGGCGACAAAGTTACCGTAAATATCGAAGCGCGTAGAAACTTGGCGGAAATTTGCACACCCTCGCTTTCGAAATGTATTATTTACTAATTAAACAGCACATGATGATTGGTGCCTATTTTGCTCGTTTTGAATGCCGCTTTGGTTTTCATTATTCAATTCGATAATAAGCACAGATGTTGTTATTAAAACTTGGTAAACTGCGTTTTTACCATGATCCGGCACCACGTAAAAAGTGCTGAAGAAAATCCCCAAATTTTATAAGACTGAGTAAAAGTGCTAATATCGGAAACATCGGACTGGCAACCGGCCTACATTGCTGTGGTGCTTGCCAGCTTGCAAGCGTGGTCGGAGTAACGCTATATAGTTATTTTTCCTGTTAAATGTTAATCGTGTGCCTCAATTACAAAATATTTCAATAAAAAATAGAAGCCAGTATAATATATGGTATACTTGCAGATTTCCTTCCATATTCGTTGCGACTGCGATTTATCTTCTTCTGAGATGGTGTCGAGTCTGTCGACGTGCCTGTGTGTTATGTGTGTTCCAGCACGTGCATATAAACGCCAAACTTCAGTAAATGAAAATATCAAATCTTTATGTTTTAAATTCATTTGAAGCTGGTGCCAGGTTTTCGCGTTCAACATATTTCTCTATAGTCTAGGATCTGTATATGAGTTTGTAAGCATTTCATTTAGGACAGATAATCTGAACTGTTTTCGGGCACGTTGACCATGATGGTCAACATGGTAACGCTGCCCGAACCCCAACTGATCCGGGGCGAAACGTCCGAAACTGACCACACCCAAAAACGACGCTTTCGCCCAGGGACGCCGGAACGATCATAAGGGCAAAGGGGGGCGGACCCACAGCAAGGGCACTTCGCCAAAAAAATTTCGGTTAGTGTACCATTTTAGGGGTCAAAAAATTTTTCCGGACATACCACAAGTGAAATATAAACTGTATTTGTCTGAATCTCATAATTTTCGTACAAAAACCATCGTTCTAAATGTGATTTATCACGTATTTTTTTATAACTAAAAGGGCACTTCTGCCCCCCTGCCCCCCCCCCTAGCAAAAGGCAAGGGGGGCAGCCGCCCCCCCAGTTCCATCCCTGCTTTCGCCATAGTGCTATCTACCAAACCATAAAAGCTTTGGTTATTCTGAGGTGCGTATATGCTGCAGAGATGGTACTTTTAGGGGTGGTCATTGGTAAGTGTAAAATGCCTAGCACTGATATTTCACAAGAAAATGACCCTGCAATACACATAGTCAAACGTCAATTTGTGACTTACAAATTCAGATAAACAGCAGCACACTAATATAAGGTTTCTGAAATGTTCTCTGGTTGCAAAATTTATTTTAAAGTGCCTATATCACTTGTGGCATCTTTACGAACTTGGAAAGAGCACAAAAGTTAGTAAGTTCTTCAACCTTTTTTTGATTTGGTTCAGTATTTTCCGAGATATTGACCTTCAAACATGACAATTTTCAAAAAAATCTGTCGTGCTCGGGCGCCTGGGACTTAGGAACGCAAGCGGAAACAAACACCATAGAATTATATTATATTTTGACGCTGTAATTTACTAAAGTGAGAACTTTTGCAAGAAAAGTCGGTTTATTAAGTTCAAAGTCTTTCTCGATCCGGTACTGAAAAAAGATCCTAATATTGCGCTGAATATAAAATTGAAGGTGAAACGTACAAAACGACTTCAAAATCAAATTTGAAAGTGCTCCTTCGTAGATGGCATCTAGCTTCGGCGTCGAGCCTGAAAATGTTGGCATTTAGAGCTACACTGACGAAATATGGGCCAAATAATACGTTTGAAAGTTAGAAGAATTTAACAAGGAAATAAGGAAAATCATTTTCACATGAAACGGACCTTACATGTACAGTATATCGTGATAATTATTCGTATTAAATGAATAATTGCTGCGGAGCGAGCGAGCCTGAAGCGAGCGAGCGAAGCAGCAGCCTAATTTGTGTAGTAGGCAGTAAAAAAGCAGATTTTTAGCGTCGCATGGAATTGTGGTCGTGCGCATTTGTATGCGCAGTTTTCATAAATCCGTCTCACCGCACTACACATGCGTAATTAAAACTCCCTACGTAGCCACCAATATTTCTAATGTCTTCAAAAGTGGACATATTTTGCATCAAGTGATGTTTCATGTATACGGTGGAAGCATTGAAAGGCCTTCGCTTCGGCAGTCCGGCTTAGCACAAGTTTTCAAAACGATTCGGTGTTCTAATTTTCGTTATTTTTGCATTGATTCGTGCGTTGTTCATTCAATGGACTTTGGCCACTGACAGTCCTATACTTTTATAGTGTAATAAATCTGTGTATATAGTCTATATAATGTGGTAAATGCGCCTAGCAATAAACAGACTTGTATGAAATCTGATAGCAAGCTTGTGTTATATAATTAATTTATCTGTATGTCAATGAGACGCACATGTTTAATATCTGTCACCTGTGATTGCCCTTTAACCCCTGGTCTTGGCTACTTTAATATATAATATATACCTCGATATATACTGCTTTTTCGCAGTTCCACTCATGGTAAGAATCGATTCCTTACTGGCTTAAGGTCTTAAGCTCACAGCTCACTTGTCGCTGCGAGTAATAACCGTACTTGATATATAATTTGTGCTATTTACTGTAGTTCTATTTGCTTTTAATGCCCGCAGCAATCCCTACCTTGCAGGTACCCTAGTATATTTTCTACTATGTAAATGTTGTGTAAATGTCTTGAATATCAGCGATACCACTATAACCACAATGCAAAGCGCTACGAAAACGTAATAAAGGGAATCTAGTATTACCATAGATTCCCCTTAGTTGCGTTTTTGTAGCGCTTTGCCTTGTGGTTAACAGTAAAATATTCGCGAAAACATTCGAATTTGCATTCGATCGAGGCCGCTATCTTTATCAGTGATACTTCTATAACCACAATGCAAAGCGCTACAAAAACGTAATAAGGGGAATCTTCAAATAAGTTGTATTATTGAGATATCTAAATTGAGTAAAAGGAGTAGCTTTTTCGATTCTATTTCGTACTGTTGAAAATCACAATACATTTCATGATTCAATGATTGTATAATAGACCAATTATATAAATACTTGGCTTGAATTAGCTTTGCTGTTAATAATGTTAAAGTTCCCGACATTCCAACCCTTGCTAAATAACCTGAACTTGTGAGAATTGATATATATATATATATATATATATATATATATGTATATATGTATATATCCCATTTATAAATCAGGAGATAAGCACAATCCGTCAAATTATAGACCAATATCAATTTTACCAACCATCAGCAAGATACTAGAGAAAGCTATTCATAAACAGTTATCTGCATTCCTTGATGACAATGATTTACTATCAACGAGTCAGTTTGGATTTCGTCTTAATTCCAACACTGTACTGGCTACAGCACAATTTACTGACAAGGTTTTACAATCAATGGATGCTGGGGAGCTTACTGGAACTGTTTTTATAGACTTAGCAAAGGCATTCGACACCGTAAACCATGGAATCCTGTTACGTAAGCTACATCTACTTGGTGCTGATGACCATGCTTGTGAATGGTTTAAATCTTTTCTCTCCGAACGTTCACAAGTAACAGTCTGTAATAACGCCCAGTCTGAAACTGCAAAAATATCAATAGGAGTTGCCCAAGGGTCCATCCTTGGGCCATTATTGTTTGTGATATATGTTAATGATTTGCCGAATGTCTTAGAATCCTGTCACGTCACCCTGTTTGCTGACGATACAGTTTTATACTGTTCGTCCAAATGTCCAAAGCTATTGGAACAAAAACTGAACTCTGATTTAACAAGAGTCTGCGATTGGCTGAAAACGAATCATATCTTACTATTAATATTAAGAAATCCAAATTTATGCTTATCGGTAGTGGTCCACGCTTATCAAGATTGTCCACGTCCTTAGTAACATCCGTTGGAGATGCACCCCTGGAAGAAGTGGAGTCATACAAGTATCTTGGCGTAATGATAAGTAATAACTTGACATGGCACGATCACATCCAATTTATTAAATCTAAGATTAATAAGAAGCTGGGACTACTAAAGCGTATTAAGAACTATTTACCGTTACATAGTAGAATATTATTTTATAATTCTTATATTTTGCCATCTTTTGACTATGCTGACACAGTATGGGGAGACAGAGGGAATGAAACCCTTATGGCAGATTTACAAATTTTACAGAATAAGGTAGCACGTGTAATTTTGGACCTGGATTATGGATCGTCAGCCAGTTCTGCTTTGAAGAAGTTGGCTTGGAAAGATCTAAAGACCAGGAGGATTGTTAACCGTTTGATATTGATTTATAAATGTAAGAATAATCTTTTCTCTTATAATTTTGAAATCACATATCATCAGGATATGCATGCTTATAACACTAGGTCTAAGTGTAACATACGTAAATCAGCGGCGAGACATAAATGGGGACATTGGACAACGGTCAATTTTGCCAGCAATGACTGGAATGAATTGCCCCAAGAAATTCGTGAAGCAAAAGACCTTCAAACTTTTAAAGTCTACTTAAATAGCTTTATTGATACCTAGCTTTAATTATCCTTATATATTTAGCCTAGTTTCTAAATAGCATTACTATACTTATATTTAATTAACACTGTAAAGTTTTTTTGTAGTTTAGCAGGACCCTACTGAAAAACACATTATTGTGACGTAGGCTTCCTGATTAAAAATTGCTTGAATTGAATTGAATTGAATTGAATATTGGTACAAAAAATAAAGGAAAAATGCTTTACAATTCCCCTGATGACATCATAGCCGGAAACTTTGACAGTGAAAAAGTTGATCAAGAAGGGATTCTTTATTATAGAGATAACATTTCTTCTAACGACACAAATATTACACGCATCAAAAATCATATTTATGGTTAGTCGTGCTTTAAAATTATATTTCTTATTTTTCATCTTTTCAAATTATATTTCTTATTTTTCACTGTTTCGCTCTTTCTCTGTTTCCCCCCCGCTTCAATCACCGCTTTTTAACCAAAAATACAATAAAATTTATCAGAAAGCAAGAAGGAATAGACCAAAGGAACAAAGCAATTTTTCTATAGTTCTACGTGTAAAATTGACCGGCTTGGCATTCGTCGAATCTGTTGTTGTCTCAACAGGTTTTGGGAAAAAGTGTGCAAAAGAGCCGAGAGAGCTCGAAAAAGATACATGAACAACAAAAACATCGAAAAAGGCAACAAAACCTGAACATAAGTGATTTAAAAAGTACCTTCAATCCTTCTGATAACAACTGCTAGATGTTTTTCGGCGGAAGACAAAAAATACAATAATTTCGAAAATAAAAACTGAGCAACACGACGAAACCTACGATTTAACGACTTTCATGGCAAACCCAGCAGCCCAGATGCTGAAAAACTTTGGCAAATTAGTCTGTGTATCGTTGATCTTATTTCCAGCATTTCAAATAATTTTTCCAGCTTTAAAGCATCAAAAGTTTGTATTGGTTTGGCAATTTCGCTCCTTCTCTCGCTTAAAAATTCAAGCGACAGTAAAAGCATGCCCGTGACGTCACTGAGTACATGTTAGGAGAATTTCAACGTCGATCTTTTCAGTAAAATTGTTCACTATGTAATATCTTCTCTTTATATTATAAAAGAAATAGAAAAACTCGTTTCGTGCGTTTACAGTGCGATTATGCATTTGGGGAATGTTGGGAGAATACTCGAGAAACATGTAAAACACTCGGGTACGTCTCGTGTTCTCGCTTCTCTCGTATTAGACGGTTTTAGATAACAAGACGCGGACGTCAAGAGGACGTGAGATGGCGTGTTATGGCGTAGCTTTCGCGCAATTTTTTATGGCGACGTCGTCTTTGAGGTTTTCAGGACGCGAGATTGAGATTTTCACGTACTGACAAAGACGTCAACTATTTTTTTCATTTTTATCCATAAAAAGGTCAGTAATACGCATGCAAACTATTTAAACTTGTAGTTTTATATTATATTTGTCTTTTTTTGTAAGAATTTACTAGCATATGGCGTAAATAATGGTCTACACATCACAATAAACAAGAGTAGTTATACGCGTAATGTTCGCATTTTTATGCGTGTAGTGCTTGTTTTTTGCAGTAGCTTATAGTTTAAAACAGTTTATTCGCAGACAGTTTTACATCACAATTTTGTTTTTGTTAATTCCTGAATTAAAAATAACACTCTTTCATTGACTTTTCCGCATTTTTTGCAGTTTCTGAAGTATCTGGGATATAATGGCGGATAAAATCGGAGATAATGCAACGTCAATGCCAAAAAAAAGGTGAATGCACAGCAGTTATTTATAAATTCAACAGTCGTATAAATTTAAACTTCATTTTGTTTAAATAATGTCACTAGCTACAGCAAATGTGTTTTCACAAATGTGCTGTTATACACCTTTCCAGAAATATTGTTTACATAAAATAAACGAAGAGAAAATTTCACGCTTTAAATTTATATAAAGTACCTGAACCTGGAGTATTAAAGAAACAGCATAGCCATGCCCAGAGCTAGGCATTCATCTTAATAAAATCTAGCTTCAGCTTCATTATTTTCGTTGAACACATTTACCGATTTATACAGATCCATATGTTTGTACTTTTCCCTGATAGTTGCGTGTTGTTCAACATAGTTCATATTCAACAGAAAAGGACTTACAACCACTTGTTTTTGCAAGGCCACAAGTCGCTTCAGTCGGTTGACTCGGTTGAAGATTCTCAAGCTTCTATAGCTTTTTATGTTTACTGTTGCTAGGTAACATAATTCACTTCCTGTTAGGAATAATTAAAAACACAACTCATTTCCTGCGAGATACTAATTAAAAACAAATGTATTTTCCACGTGACATGTTACAAAAGCAAACCAAAACAGATTTAATATTTTCATATGTTTGTATCTTAATACCCTGAATTTAAAACTTACATATATTTTATCGATGTGTATTTCTATATGACATATCTTCAATATTTATCTTACAGTATTTGCTTGTTGTATAAACTTTGTAATTGTGATGTCTAGTAATTGTCATAACATTAGTAAATATATTTTATTGTAGGTCTATTATGGTCTGGTCTGAGCAGAGAGATGTGACCTTTTTAAGGGAGGTTGCAGCAGAGGGGCTGTTCGCCAAGAAGGAGAAGTCGAGAGAGAGAGGGTCTGGGTGGCAAACCGTTGCCAATAATTTAAACCCAATTTTTGACACGGAGTTGACACCCAGGTCTGTGAGGGATCACTACAACAGCTTATCAAAGAAGCACAGAGCAAGGTTGGCAAGAGAGATGCGAGCGACAGGAGAAGGGGGAGATGAATTAACAGAAAGAGAAGAATTGCTGGAAGAACTGATGCAAATAGAAGAGGAAACAGACTTACATATGGAAGAAGAGAATATAGCAAGGAAGGAAGTGATTGAAATGGAGAAAGCGAAAGGAACGGAAATGCGAGAACGGGCAATGGAGTGTTTTGGGGAGTCGAGAAAGAGGTTGGCCGAGCAATTGGGGAAGGAGAAAGAGGCAAAGAAAACCAGGAGAACGTCGGGAGAGGTATTTGAGTGGTTAGGCAAGAGGATGGAACTGGAAACAGAAAATAAGGAAAAAGAGCGAATGGAAAGAAAAGAGGAAAGAGAATTTCAACGTGAGCAAGTACAGCAGCAGCAGGATCAGCAACAGCAGCAGTTTGCAATGCTACAGCATCAGATGGTGGCTTTGATGCAACAACAGCATCAGCAAACACAATTAGTGTTTGAACTTATTCGGAAAAACCAAGAATAAACATTTCATCATGTTAACATATTTAAAACAAGTCAAATACATTTATTTATACAGTGTTAACAGTTTTCAACAATTTTAACAATATTAATTTTAATTAATATAATACAATTCAATGTGATTAATTATGTATTCAATGTTAATATAAAATAATTCAATGTATCAATCATTATTAATGTATTCAATCAACATATTAAAAAATGTTCAATCAATTTGTCTAATTTTAGGGACCGTTCATGATTTATCAATTTGTCTAATTTTAGGGACCGTTCATGATTTATACCTGGGGTTGGTACCGAAGAAAAGCAAAAAACACTGTAGTAAATCTTTTATTTACCCAACCTCAACAATGGTCAAAATAATGTTTACCCAACCCATGTGTTACAGACTGTACTTCTTAATAATTAAACACACAAGATTATGGTGACATAAATCAAGTCGCCTAAATTCTAAAAGCTCGCTCAATCTCACTGAGTGTGCCAAAGCAATCACATTTCTTCTGATCAATGATAGAGTCCTTCCTCAATCACTGACGGTCTATTTTGGTACAGAATATATGTATTGTACACATTTTTATTCATATTTTCCAATGCATGATATTAAAAATTTTGATTTTATTTTATTTTATAGCTGACAAACAGCCATAATTTTTTTTACCCAACCCATGAGCTAGTCAAAAACGTGATTACTCAACCCATATCTCTTCGGTACAAACCCCGGGTATAAATAATGAACGGTCCCTTAGTTCATGTAATTTAAGCAATTTACCAAAAATACTGGTCCAGTGTAGGTGGTTGAAGGTCAAATGTTTGTGAGACAATATTACCATAAAGGCAAGTGCGAGCATTCTCAAGTAGTGCAGAAACAACATACATCTTACCTACTGCACTCAAGTGTACTTTCATCTGCCTCTTAAAATCTATAAAACTGAAGTATTTGGTTATATTTCCAAACATCCACTCCACTGACACTCTGACAGCACTCATGGCTTTGTTGTAGGCTTGCATTTCTGGGGTAATGCCTCTGCTTGGAAAAGGTGCCTGAAGATGAACATTTAATGGGTAAGCTGGGTCACCATACAAGCAAAGAGGTTGGCCATTATAATGGGCAACACGCCTTAGGTTTGGTAGCAAGCCAGATTCGTATAACATGGTACTGTCGTGTCGTCTTCCCTCATATGGACCAGCAAGATTTGCAATGAGGCCATTTGGTATTACCACACTCTGAAACTTGATGGCATGAACCCTTTTGTGACCATTATACAGCACTCGTTGAAGGTATTTGGGTCTAGCGATCCGCCGAACAGTGCCATCCACAAAACCAAAACAGTTTGGAAGAGGTGCACCGTGGTTGTAAATGGTAGTTGCATAGGTATTAAGTTGCTCAGGGGATAGAAACGGTTGATCCCAACTTTCGAGGCGATGGTGATGGTACTGGTAGACATGGTTGAGGACTGTATTGAAAATCAGACACAGTGTACTTGGATTTTTTCCAAAGCGAGTGGCCATATCAGAGTACCTACATGGGTAGGCCAGTCTCTTCAACAGGATACATAGGGCTTCCATACCATTACATATGCTCCCTTGCACACAGACAATCTTCTCTGGTATTTGCAAATAATTATTAAGTAACTCCAAGTCACTTTTTGCGAATCTTAGCTCGGTTCGGCATTCTTCGTCACTCCAAGATGCCAGGTTAAACTCGTCAAATTTCCAGTAGGGGAAAACAGCTTTTGAACGACTGTAATCATACAGCAACGAGAACTCAACATCAGAAATATAATTCAAATCATAAGCAATAACTGCAGAATCACGAACATCTTGCAAACTACGACCCGCCATCGATAATATCGTTTCAAAAATAAAAATTAAAAATATAGGACACGACAACATGACGAAAGCTGATGTGAATTTTATTTAAATATTTCTATATTCAACGGTTTTCATCCAACTTCATAAGGAAGAAATACCTGAGAACTGTAGCCTATCATAATATCATTTATATAAATCGTTTCATAACAAATGTTATTTGAAAGTCACTATTACGTGTCCGTTTGAACAATATCACTTAACTGATAGAAATATTTTGTCCAATACCATCAGAATATTATGATTTCATCTTGCCAATTCGGTTTGATTACTTGGTTCACGTTTTGTTTATTGTCATGAGACAAATAGTAAAAAAGAGTACGAGTTTATTTAGATCATTTGCATAGCTGTTTCAAATGACAGGAAGAAACCTTGATTACTGTTCGAGAATACAAAGCAACGTCCTTGAAACGTCGCAGATCACTTTCCTAAATACATTTTTTTTGTAAACACGACGGCGTTCTCGACCCAGTTTCCCTCGGTCAAATGACGTCCTCTTGACGTCCGCGTCTTGTTATCTAAAACCGTCTATTCTCCAAACATACCCCACGTGCATTATCACACTATAAACGCAAGCGATTCGTTTTCTATTTCTTAAATAATGTATTACCTGCCTCCAAATATAATATCGTGCTGTCATGGCACATAGGCCATTTCGGAATACTGCATGGTTAATCCAATGTTTAAAAGATATAGACGAGGGGTTGCTGCATGCATGTATTTCTAGTAATTATAATGAGAGTGATTTACAGACAGGTGTTATTTAATAATCTAATTGTAGGGAACACTTTTTCAACACTGATTTGACAGAATCGCATGACCTAGGGACTTTATATTCCTTTGTTATTCTTATTTTATGTAACAGTATGAAGAATTAGACTGACGTCATCTTTGGTGCCATTATTTCATTTCAACATCCACTTTATATAATAATAATAAAAGTTATCACACCACAAAACTGCGCTAATCACTGCACAGATCTAATTTATCACTGCACAAATTGGTTATCACTCAGCCTTAATATATATATATATATATATATATATATATATATATATATATATATATATATATATATATATATATATATATATATATATATATATATATATTAAGGCTGAGTGATAACCAATTTGTGCAGTGATAAATTAGATTTGTGCAGATCATTAGATTTGATCACAATCAGGGCCGTCGCGAAGAGGCTAAAGCGGGGGGGTGATCCCTTTTTTGCCGACAACAATCTACCACTAAGGGCCTGTTCATATCATCCGGGCTGGCGTGGTAAACCGGGCTGACTTCCAAGAGGCGAGATCTCGCCTCGTATATTGTTTTTACACGTTTTTGAGATTTGATTCACACCAGAACCGGGCACCCGTTTGAGCGAGGCGAGATCTCGCCTTCCCTGGCTCATACGACGACTATGAACCAGATTAACGTTACCGTTAACACACGCAGCGACGAATGCGATTGTAAATCTTTTTGGTTTCGTGCCGTGTCCGGAAACTCTGAATCAGGAAAATTTGTGGGAACTTCGTATCCGGAAACATTTGAATCCGGGAGAAAACTCTCGTGTAAACGGCTTTCCGTAAAGAATCCGAATCAATTTGCCGGTTTCGGTTTAAAACTTTTCAAATCTATTGCTATTAAATTCAACCGCCAAACAGTATCAAAACATCGTAAAATACAAGGGCGGATTTTCATATTTTCTCTGGGGGGGGGTGTGTGCAAAAAATTCCGGTGGTGGTGGAGATGATCATGTACAGGGACGGATCCAGGCTAGGGGTTTTGATCACCGGTTACTAGGTTCACCCATATATATCTTATATACACTAGATAGTGCATCTAATTATTCTGCAATTCAAAAATTGAAGCCGTGATTGCAGTCTTAGGTCGTTCCCATGAAATGAGAAGATTTGTATGTTTTCTATTTCTTAAACAGGAAACTTAAACATTAAGTTAACCCTATTCCAAATACGTTTTAAACTATTCAAATAATGAAAGTTATTGTTGTTTTTAAGCGTTTATTAGCAAGTGGGAACGACCAACATGGCCGCCATCTATTCAAATGTGAGTAACCGCTGGAATATTCTTGGCTTCAATTTTACTAAAAGAGATGTGCTATCTAGTGTATATCAGACAACTATGGGTTCACCCAACTAATAGGGGCGGGTCCGGGGCATACCCCCGCCGGAAAAAAATTAAAATTTGAGGCTCTGAAACAGCATTTCCTGCGTTCTAGCGTCACTTTTAAAATTAATTTAATGATTAGGAAATGCATGTTTTTAAGTGAATTTTTGACTAATACGCGGCTCAAACAATGAATTGAACCTTTTCCGAAGCGTATTAGCTAGTGCCTAGTGTTAAAAATATAGGATTCACTAATTGCTGACACATCGATTTAGATCTACACGCTTTCAATCCAACTCTAACGACGAACTAAAAACCAAACTGCAAGAGCGTGAAAGTTTCGCAATCATTTCCTGATTCTCAATCGCCAAACCAATGATCAGTGGGTCTAAATACGCTCGGTCCATAATCAAATTTCAAAAATAGATTAGACAACATCAATTTCATGAAACAGAATCTACATGGAAGGTTATAGATTTTCTTTCTTTGGAAAATCTGGCAGGTTTATGCAAACCTGTCTGAATCCGCCCACTGATGTAAATGTGCACACATGTGGTGCCAATGAGCACGTGAACTTATTTTTTGTAATTGTGTTTTACTTTTACGTCAATTTGCTGCAAACAGGTGTATATAGAAACATGTTAATTTGAATATTTCTATCTTACTTAACGGTAGTTTAATTTAGTGCATTTAAATTTTGGCAGGGACAGGCGGGGGTGTGCACATCCGTCCTTGGTATAATATCTGTAAGAGGGTTAAAATTATTTACTTTATATTGACCATCGCTGTGCAGGGTTGTGTAGTGTAAACTGTCTGAATCCGCCCCTGATGTGAATGTGCACACATGTGGTGCCAATGAGCACGTGAACTTATTTTTTGCAATTGTGTTTTACTTTTACGTTAATTTGCTTCAAAAAAGTGTATATAGAAACATGTTAATTTGAATATTTCTATCTTACTTAACGGTAGTTTAATTTAGTGCATTTAAATTTTGGCAGGGACAGGAGGGGGTGTGCACATCCGTCCTTGGTATAATATCTGTAAGAGGGTTAAAATTATTTACTTTATATTGACCATCGCTGTGCAGGGTTGTGTAGTGTAAACTGTCTGAATCCGCCCCTGATGTGAATGTGCACACATGTGGTGCCAATGAGCACGTGAACTTATTTTTTGCAATTGTGTTTTACTTTTACGTTAATTTGCTTCAAAAAAGTGTATATAGAAACATGTTAATTTGAATATTTCTATCTTACTTAACGGTAGTTTAATTTAGTGCATTTAAATTTTGGCAGGGACAGGAGGGGGTGTGCACATCCGTCCTTGGTATAATATCTGTAAGAGGGTTAAAATTATTTACTTTATATTGACCATCGCTGTGCAGGGTTGTGTAGTGTAAACTGTCTGAATCCGCCCCTGATGTGAATGTGCACACATGTGGTGCCAATGAGCACGTGAACTTATTTTTTGCAATTGTGTTTTACTTTTACGTTAATTTGCTTCAAAAAAGTGTATATAGAAACATGTTAATTTGAATATTTCTATCTTACTTAACGGTAGTTTAATTTAGTGCATTTAAATTTTGGCAGGGACAGGAGGGGGTGTGCACATCCGTCCTTGGTATAATATCTGTAAGAGGGTTAAAATTATTTACTTTATATTGACCATCGCTGTGCAGGGTTGTGTAGTGTAAACGCCGCACGATCCGTATATTTGAAAACAATGAATTTGGATAATTTCGCAAATCAAAAAAGGGCCAGCCCAGCAAACCGTATATTAATAACTAGTGAGTAAAGAATGACCAAATTTAAAACCTTGAATGATCATAAGCAACTGAGCACTGAGCAACACTTTCTATTTTACAAATATTAATAAAGTGAACATGTCATGCCGTTATGGCAGCTCTTCTCCGGCGCAGAAATTATTTTGAAGTTCGTAGCGGAACAAATAAACCACATGGCACTAAGCACAGGGAGCAGAGGAGTCGAGTAAATCGAGTTTGTCTAGTAAAACAAGACAAACACCGTCTTACCTTGTTAATTGTAATATATTTCATTGTGGAAAACCAATGTGTGCATTAAAAAATGCATATTTTTGCTGTCGAGCCTCAGCTCGGCAGCACACTATTCTTGACGTTCTTTCTTTTTCGTGTCCAGTCCCCGCGGCCGATTTATGTATAGTCGAAATCTCGATTTGCATTCGGTGGAGATTTCGGCACTCCAGGGGGCTCATTAAGTATACATTCAAGTTCGTTTGTAAAATGAGGGGGTTGTTCAACAACATTTTCTTCATTGCTGCGAGCAGGCTACTCGAAGATGTGTCTTTAAAGTGTTTTAACCGAAATTTTCAGTACATCAAATGATCATATCTGTGAGTTTAGTTTATATACTCAGTGTTTATTTATTGATGTGTTGAACCGGTTTAATAAAGTTGCGAATACCGAGGGAAACAGGGTTCATATCTCTGCTAGCGCTATGAAGACTACTATGTCTTCTTCCACATTCCATCTCGGGCGAATCAACTGTGGCAATGTTTGCCGATGATACCAAGTGCTACCGTCCGGTGAAAGATTTACCCGATTGCGAAAGTCTGCAGAATGATCTCAATAATCTCGTGAACTGGTGTACTATCTGGAAGATGGACTTACATAAGTCTAAAATGCGGAGTAATGAGCTTCACAAGAAGTCGCCAACCAGTCACAACAAATTATAAACTACTGGATAGTTCTCTGAAGCAACTATGTCATCAAAAAGACCTTGGGATTGTTGTTACAAAAGATCTCAAGTGGACGAAACAGGTTGAAGAAATAACATCAAAAGCGAGCTCAATGCTAGGCTTCATTCGTCGAACAGCCTCCGACACGCATAACATCCACGTGCGAAAGGTGTTGTACCTGTCCTTAGTGCGCAGCAAGTTAGGATATGCCAGCCAGGTGTGGGCACCTCAAACTGTCAGCGACATACTGTCAATAGAACGGGTTCAACATGGCGCGACCAAATTCATCCTTTCCCTTCCTTACAGAACAGCCACAACATACAGGGAACGACTACTGGTTATCGGTATTCTCCCAGTCTGCTATTGGCACGAATTTCTGGACTTAGTTTTTCTTTACAAGAGTATTCTAAGCAACGATGTCAATGTGTCAATACGAACAACCACCCGGACGACTAGAAACGCTGACCCTGTCAATGGTATTCTTCTTAATGTATCTCGATGCAGGACAGTTAGCTACAAGAACAATTTCTATGTGAGAGCGCCTAGCGTATGGAACATTCTCCCTAGCAATATTCGTGACACTTCAAGATCATTAGCTTACTTTAAAATCTCTTTATTCAATTACTACTTAAACCTTTTAGAACAAATATACAACCCGGACAATCCTAGAACATTTAAGTCCGTGTGCGTCAAATGCCACTCAACTCGGTCTCTTGATAGTTTATTAGTGAGGACATGTTGTTGACATTTTAGCATAATTTGTTTTAATGTTATATATTGTAACTTATTGTGAGGGGCCCCATAATTGGAAATTATCTCTGTGGCTAGTCCCTGCCCGAATTGCATGTAAATTTTGTAAAGTATTAGTCTTATTTATGTCTGTTATGTTTGGCGAATCTTGTAAAATAAAATGTCTATGGCTACCTACTTTATGGCTACCTACAGTACTACAAATCGCTGGCTACTATGTATGAAAGAATTTAAGAATTTATAAACTATTGTTTGTTCAAAGTCGAGTATTGTCATTATAATTTTAGTCAAATGTCCACAATATGCCTTACAGCATTAAAATTCGTGCAGCGCTGGGTGCGCAAATATACTGCGCGAAATATAATCCGCGTGATTACAATATTCATCGCATGCTGTTTTAAATTAAATCTCTCCATGTTACAAATAATATTTTATATTTTCAAATGATATTTTACATATACCGTTGTTTAATGTTTACGTGAATTTCAAATTCAAAATTCGATACTAATTACAACTGTCAAAATGAAGTTCTACTTCGTCTTTGGTCAATGTTCAATGCGTCTTCCGGTTGTATTCATTCCGTCATAGGGTGTTGTGGTGCAAATGCGACGAAAGATCTGCAATGTTTCCTCCCTTTCTTCGTTTCCTATTCGTTGCCCTCTCGGCCAGTGTTCGTTGGCTTTTCGGAAAATACGAATCTACGGCAATGCAAGGCAGCGGAGTATATTAATATAGAAATTCATATCTTGGTAAATAGTTTGGTTTGTATTCGATGATTTTGATGAATAAATATGCATTTTTAATGCACACATTGGGAATCTACAACGAAATATACTACAATTAAGGGGCTGATTACATGGAGAGTTCAGCTAGCCCGGGCTGAGTTTCAGCCCGGTTAAACGAACTGAAATTGCATCACGATTACATGAGCAGTTTGAGCCCGGGCTGAGTTTAGTCAGAGCTATGTTATAATCAATTAACCCGGGCTGAAATGTCCACTTTGAAGCGTTCAGACGCTGATTAGTCAACTATTTGACTTGTGTGAGACTGTAGTTACCATAAATATCTTATATACACTAGATAGGGCATGCATCTCCTTTAGTAAAAACTGAAGCCAAGAATATTCCAGCGGTTACCCCATTTGAATAGATGGCGGCCATGTTGGTCGTTACCACTCGCTAATAAACACTAATAAACAACAATAACTTTCATCATTTGAATACTTTAAAAATGTATTTGGAATAGGATTAACTTAATATTTAAGTTCCTTGTTTAAGAAATACGAAATATACGAATCTTCTCTCATTTCATGGAAACGACCTGAGACTGTAATCACGGCTTCAATTTTTGAATTGCAGAATAATTAGATGCACTATCTAGTGTATATAAGATATCTATGGTGGTTACATGTAAAGTATTTTTAAAAAGATGAAACAAACACGCAAAATAAAGCCATTTAAACGGTTGTTTTATTAGCACGGGTTGAAATTGTTTGCGATTACATGCTGCTGGGCTGAGTTTCAGCCCCGACTGAAATTTCAGCCCGGGCAGCTCAAGCCGGGCTGAAATTTCAGCCGGACTGGAATTTTGATTATGTAATCGCTTGCTGTGTTTTAATACGATTTTATCCTTAGGCCGGGCTGAAATTTCAGCCAGGGAAACCGGGATGAAACTCAGCCCGGGCTGAAAACTCTCCATGTAATCAGCCTCTAACAAGGTAAGACGGTGTTTGTTTTGTTTTACTAGATAAACTTGACTCCTCTGCTCACTGTGGAGCGCAGAAAATATTTTGAAGTTCGTAGCGGAACAAACTAAGTTAATCTCAAATAACCCACACTAAGCAAAGCATTTTAATACGTTCGTATTATTTGTATTTTATGTCATGTTCTCTGTGATTTTTAAAAAAGCCAGAGGTTCTCTTCGCCTCCTGTAAATAAATATGAGTGGGAAGAAGTATAGGTTTTTTTGAGGCAACGAGGGGATATGCGATTTATTCACCGAGACGCGCAGCGCCGAGGTGAATAAACACATATTCCCGAGGTGCCTCAAAATAACTTACTTATTTTTCACATTGCGAGGTCGCGTTAATGAGTCAGAATAGAAATAATTCTTAATGCCATATTCTCGTTTTTGTGCTGCAAAGACACTGCAGGTGAAAATTATAGAGGGGATTATTAAACGGAAATTGATTAGAGGGGAATATTGAATATATTCCCCGATAAGAACAAAGGAAACCGAGCAGGGTGAACTGATAAGGCGAAAGATACGAGAACCTCTGCCAACCAGGGTAGACCACAGGCGGCCCAATCTCCGAATGTTCTATATATTTTGAATATTTATACGGAATATTTATCCGTTATAATATTTGATTACGAAATAATTCAAAAAATATTAGCAGTATATGTAAAAAATATATCTAACTTGTTAAAGTAGGATGCATGCATTTTGCCGTGTTTCTGAGTTTAGTTTGTACGTTTTCGTCGTACTTAAACGGTCGTCAGTACTGGCACTGAACGACATAATATCTGATATACTCTCCGACATCGTGTCCAATATTTCTCCTCATATTTGTTGCAGAGCAATAGATTTCACATCGCCTAATAGTATAGGCCTACTCTTGGGCGGTAAATCGCCTTAAATCGCTGCGATATAATGCGATTTTGGGCGATTTTAGGCGATTTAAGGAAAAACTGGGACTTTCAAGCACTGCGATGTAATGCGATTTTAGGCGATTTAAGAGAAAATTCTAAATTTTAGGGATTGCAATTTAGACCTGTGTTTTCAAGGTAATTGAATTTTATATTTTGCTCCGGTTTCATCCCACAAGGCAAAATATGGCAGGGTGGGTTAGAATAAACACAGTTAGAAAAGTGATATCATATTCTCATTGTTTAATAAAGATATACAGTCTAGACTAACATAAGTAACCCTAATACTTTATGTAAGCGGTGACTGAAAAGCCCCAAAGGGGAGTGAGCTGAATAATGTAATGTTTTCACACACATTGACACATATGCATTGTATGAACATGTATGTACATTTTATATAAAGCTAGGTTAATAATTATTGTATTTAACCCGAATCATATATAAAGCTCAATATTTGTGAACTTTTCATCCATTGTCTTATTTAGAAGCCATTGGAGTTCATCTTGTGGGGTCATGTGGTCATGCATTCATGGCTACATTATATACCACAAATATTGTAAACAGTTAATAAATATACTCTACTTAAGGGGCATGTACGGTACATAATTGCAAAATACCAACCTATAACTAAACTACACATGTCTTAGGCTAAACTTTAATATTATTAATTGCAAAATATAATAGATATTTGATTTCCAAAAGAACCACAGCCAACAGGGAGTAGAAACGCACAATATATTTATACAGTTACAATAAGCTATATTCATATAAATTACCTTGTCACCCTTGTAAGTGAAATTGTCTTGTTTTGTATCTTGTCAACACTTCTTTATTTAGCTTGCATTTTATTTAAACTGTTTCAACAAACATGTTCTATAAAATTATGTTTGATATCTATATCCAGAAACAGTTTGAAACAGTATTGTCACGCATTCGGAAACTGTTGGCGTAATGCCGTAAAGTTTAATTTACATGAAGTACATCGCATATAAATGGTCGGAATTCTAAATTATTTAAAAAAAATACTAAACAAAATGATGTTAAACAAATGGCACACCGCGTACTACATCGTGGTTTTAAGTCTTTTACCTGATAATTTGTCAAGTGTTCTGCAAACAAGCAACAACAAAGATTGTATGGTATGTACGATGTAATCATTGTTCTACTGTTTATTTTATATACAGGTCTGGAAAATTTAATAGATGAGAGTTGCAAAACTTGCAAATCTCGCTCATATTAAACCTCACGTATGTTTTTCGTATGATAGCCAATATAATTATAACTAGGAGCTAGAGTATAACCATGCACATTTCGAAGTACAACCATTGTATACAATGCAGTGCTCGATCTACATGCAACAGTGCATAAATTGCAGGATGACCTTATTATATACTCGTTGTTCTAACAGCAATTAGGCTTTGAGAAGCCGTGTATACTATAGATTAATTTGTAGCCCAGCCACCATAGTCCATATAAATTGTAGCCCAGCCTCCACATTTTACACCAATAATGAAATTAACCAGTAACTCAATTTTGTTGCTGGTAGTGTAATGGAATCTATGGGTCTTTCATATCTTAGAATTGCCTAATTATTGTAAAATCTGCATAAAGCAGAAAAAGGCTCTGTTTTTATTAACGACCGGAGCCTATTGAGTGACTAAATATTGTCAGCCTAATCCACTTATTTGATTTATCCATGTTGCATTACTTTTGATTGCAAAACACCTGGATTATACATGATTTGCCAGGTGCAAAATAGCAGCAATTGATAAACTTGAGTACATTATTGACTGAATGTATCAAACAGAATGCATGTTGGCGAGTTAATGCGATTTTAAGCATGGGCGTACGGGAAGGAAAATATTAGGGGGTTGGAAAGAAGTGATTGGGGGGGGGGGGGAGAAGTGATTACAAAAAATTCCTATTAGATAGCATATTTCCCACATAATTGACAGAATTTCCCACAAAATTGACAGAATTTGTCCCATTTATTTCTATAATAAACCAATATTGCCCGACTGTGAAGCGAATATTGCCCGGCTGGCTTTGTTTGCCCAACAAAGCCAGGGGGCGACCGCCCAGCCAGAAACTGGGGGGAGGCGGTCGCCCCGTTCACCCCCCAAACCCCTCCCACCCCCACCCAGTACGCCCATGATTTTAAGCGATTTTAGGCGATTTAAAGCGATTTTAGGCGATTTAAGAGAAATTTGACCATTTTAACCCGCGATTTAATGCGATTTTGGGCGATTTTAGGCGATTTAAGGCGATTTACCGCCCCAGAGTAGGCCTTAGTATGAACGTTCCTTTTTCGAAAGAACATGGTTTGTTCACCATTTCGGCAATTCCCGTGACACACGACGAACTTTGTTTATTCAAAATTCAATATTCGATGGAAGCGTTCACTACATGATTGTTGCCACGAGAGCGGCTCAGCAACCTGGCCTCCTCGTTCGAAAACACTCCGCCAGGGGGAGGAGAGGATCTGCACAGGAATGAGGGGCTTTCAACGCAACACGATAAAAAGCACGATATAAATAGAAATGATTACGTATTCGACAATAGACAAATTTTGAATTGGTTCTATTTTTGGAAGCGTGAGAAAATTAGAAATATCTTTTATGTAATAACTACAGTGAAACACGCAATTTGACTGGCCAATAGCCGTGGAGGATCAGGCTATCCTTCACGAGGAATTAAAATGCCTTCACGGGATTTTCGCGGGATTCTCAAAATGTCATTGTTTGACGGTAGTTATTTTATAAAACAATTACCAAATGGTTTTGCAAGCAGGATAGCGTGATCCATGTACTTGGGATGTTGCTCGACTTTCGGAAAGCGTAAAAATACACTCGCCTGCGGCTCGAATATTTTTACGCTTTCCGAAATTCTGCGACATCCCTCGTGCATGGATCATGCCATCTATCCTGCACGGAAAACCATTCGGTATTCCTTTAGTTCTGAACTTTTCCCTACATATTTTTTAGAACTAAAAGGTTATTTACTTATTATAACATTTAGTTTTTGACAATCATACCAATATTTTTAAAGTATTGAACTTGACGGCGTTCAACCGTATGTCTTATTTCTATGTTACATATACTGCTAATGTTTTTTGAAGTATTTCGTTGTTAAATATTATAACGGTCAAATGTTCCGTATCAATGTTCAAAATGTATAGAACATTCAGAGATTGGGCCGCCTGCACGGTATGACGTCTACATCTAGGGAAATTTGAGAACACGAAGTCCTATTAAGTTACACATCTGGTATATACTTAATCTGTGCCATAGATTAAGTATGGATTATTCGTCATTTGGTAATACGTCATTGCGTAATACGTCATTGCTTTCAAATGACGTAATGTTTTCATTTAATATCCAAAACACCGTCTTTGCAATGATTCCCTTTGATTTGGTCGTTTCGTGAAATGATGAGTTCAAGGTGTAAAGTGTAACAACACCTTGACCTCTGTACTCGTTTCTTTTTCAGTTTGAAAGCAGAATGGCGAGCAGTAAAGAATTACGTGTCCCAAAAGAATGGAACAAATATCACCCAGATATCGCGAAGGAGTCGATAGATCCAGAATTATTCTCCGAAGATGAACTCTTCTCATGGTTAGAAGAACTTGATTTGAGTCACAACAAGTCCGAAGTAGCAAAATATGTCCAGGGTGTAAGACCTTACCACTTGATGCGTCACCAGGTTGTACTTCTTCCTAACAATGCATTATGTAGACAACTCTTTAAACTCTGGACAAAGGCGGAAGTTGCACTATTTATAAGTGACGATGTCTTGGAAACATTAAGCGAAGTTGAGATGCACCAAATCTGCAACGCTATTCAATTATTGGATGATCAGATACGTGAGCAATTTCCCCGATTTCCAACCATCGCTGAAATGAAGCAGTCTTTGTTGCAGCAGAAGGTTGACGAGAAGTTCATTCCGCACGTTATATATTTTGTAGATTTTGCAAATAACGTAGCAAAATCTATTATCGACCAAGGTAATTTTTCAAAAGAAGATGTGAATGATTATTGGAGGCGATTAGTTGTTATGATTACGCTCTACTATCAAGGTGTGGAGGTGGAGGTCAAGCACAACGTTGGCCCGTATTCCGAAGATGTCTGGACGCGTCTTCTTTCAGCTGCAGTCATGGTATGGCTACATGCCCAAGAAATTGTGGCAGGTTCTGTGATAAAAAACACTGAACAGGTGTCGCTCTTAAACGAGTTGTATTTCCTTGCATCAGTCTATTCCATGGTCTCCAATGATATCTATTCCTACCGCAGAGAAATGAGATTAGATGTCAGCGTTTGTAATATGGTCCAAACAATTGCTGGCAGCAAAGAGACTTCTGCGGAGACCGATGCTGTTATAAAATGTGTTGAAATTCTCAACGCGGTAGTAAAGACAATGTATCAGAAGATTGAGAAGGCCAAGCAGAAAAACCCGGCGAACCAAGACCTGTGGAAATTGTTGGACAACATTGGCATGGCTACAGTAGGTTGGTATTATTTTCATCATTATAGTCCTCGTTACGATGACTCTCTTTGGCGTCTCTCTATAGTTGAGGTTGAAAATGATGAGTTGCAAGAATGGCGGAAAGGCAATGACGAAGAACAACTACAAGAAGTATTACCCTTATTGCTCAAATGTAGCCCAAAAGCAAAGAAAATCAGTGATACAGTTATAAGTGGTGTGGTTAATATGCATGCAAATCTTTTGCTAGAATGACTGCCAAACAATTACTTTATTTCAAGATAATATTTTATGAAAAAAAATTGATTTATGGTTTAATTAAGTTCAATAACTGACAAATAACGAACAGTAAATTATGATAACATTGTTCTTCCGTGTTGAAATTATTTATTGACACGGACGAACAGTATATAGCTGGTACAATAGTAAAGAGTATCCTTATTTGAAACTTCCAATAAATTTAGATTTGTAGCTTTCATGTTATTTTTAGACTGCATGCAAATCGATACATTATTTAACGTTTTATTTCAACTTCCTGGTAGCTAAAACTCAGCGCTGCCACGCTCACAGAAAATTAGCAGGAAGAAATCAGACTTTGGGAACGGCATTGTCTTGGTGCTTGCAATTAAAATGCTAAAATGCCTTCCAGTCATCGAAAAACCCTCCTGCGCGGCGAATTATCCTACCCCTGTATTCTGTTGCCCAAGCTTTCAGCAAGTCACACACCTTCAACAAACCCCTAGCTTCTACTGGTCCAAAATAACTGGACCTCGTGATTCGTGTGTGACCTAACCAAAACAAACTCGGAAAGCGATTACATTACCGACAGTAAGTCGAAATCAAACGTTGATGTATCGTTTAAAATAGCGTATAAAAGGAAGGGACATTTAAATTAATAAGTAAAGCACGCTATCGCAGGCGTGGTTGTTGCACTATGTTGTGTTACAATATGGAATTCAAACGCCCCACGCTTTGTGGCACCTATTTGATTTATTACTTCAACAATAATTAGAGAAGTTGGTGGGATAAGACATAATATAATAGTTGTCAATGCAATATATTTTTTTAAACTTGAACTTCAATTTGTTTATTCAAATTCAATTAACATGCACTAAGCAGAATGGAATCAACGAATCTTAACTGAAATTCAATGATTGGCTTAGTTCATGGACCAATCATTTGGTTAAATTGTTGAACATTTACTTGGACAGAAATGAATTTGGGTAGCGTCGTACTTTTCAATCTTATCAATTTAAATAAATTTTGTTTAATTGATGAAATGTTGTGAGATTAATGCACATGTCTAACTATTATACTCCACTTAGTTTTAGTCCAGTTAATTAAAGATCAGAAAAGAAACGATTGTATAGATTTTGAAGTGGTTGGCACAATTCGTTCGTCAATTCAAATCCCTAAAACGCACATACTGTTAACAGAGGCCAACATTGCTATGAATACATTTGAGACCTTGAGGGAAATCGACGGTGCTATGGGCATTTGAGCGGAGTAATTTTAAAATTTCTACCAGTTACGCTCTGACAGGGCGCGCGAATTATCAAAAATTCTGTTTAATTAAAGTCTCACAACACATATAAATTAGAAAACACGTTTCAATATTGATGTTTGAAAGAGCATCTACCTCGTTCCCAGAGCTTTCGTGTGAGGACCAGGGGAGAGAAGAGAAAGCGCTGGTCTGAGCCGATCACGTGATAAGGGCATATTTGGCAGCTACACGTCAAGGAGTGGCGAGATATTCGTTTTAATTAACGTTCTCTTTGCCCGCGCGGGCGATGCGTTCATTGTTTTTGCCGCCCGCCAAGCCCGCGTGAGCAGATTTTCAAAGCCTGCTGCGCCCGCGCGAAGAAAGCGACTGCAATGGAAACCGGCTTTTAACTGAAATATACAAGTTTTCCAAACAAATAAACTGAGCCGAAACATTTCTTAATGCCACCCTTATTCGATATTATTTATGTATATAGTGAAGTTTGGCACGAATCTTCCGAAATCTGCGAAGACACCGTCGATATTTTCTAAGATATGCCGATATTACTGGAGATTTTCAACCACAGTGTCGGGGACACTGACAGGCAAAGCAGCCAAAGGCACAACTGTATCTCAACGTGCATGATTAATGATTTCCAAGCGGCATCGAGGCGTTTCCAAGTCGCGATTCACACGAAATTTGCTTTCTCTCGTCTTGAACAATATGGCTTTGGCTTTATAATTAGTAAACATACTGTTAGACTTAGTTCGATATAAATAAAAACAAATATTTTATCGTATATTATCGCAATTTTCCAGTATTCCGGGTATTCTGAAACTGTAAAATTCGGTGTCGTGACAAAGCGAATCTTGTACATTCTTAGTGAGAATGCATAGCTTTCGCGTAGAGCTATTCCAGGGCCTAAATTATTAGTTTCATTTGATTCTAAATCAATGGTGGTTCATTTGATTGTTTATCTTGATTTTATTTGTCAGCATAGAATATTGTAAATTCAAGTATTACCACGATACATATATGCATTGTATGAGTTATCATGCAGACATCTGCACAGGGGCGTAGGAAGCTTCTAAAAGTTGGGGGGGGGGACAGGCTTTGCGGGGCACTTTCCGAATAAAAAAGGGCATCTACAATTTTTTTCCCGGAAAAGTTGTCGGCAGGGGGGGGGGGAGAGGTCTCAAAAAATTTTCCGGACATACCCAAAAAACTTTTTTCCTAAACATGAAAAAAAATTTTCGGGATATACCCAAAAATATTCCGGATATATCATATTTTTCCCGCAAATGAATAAAATTTTCTTGAAAATAACATAAATTTAAGTTTTGAAAAGTGCCTTTTGGGCAAAAAAAAGGCAATCCTTAGGACATTTTTCACGCAAGAAAAGGGCACTTTGCTCCCGGAAAAAGGGCACTTGGCAAAACTTGGGGGAGGGGGGGTTGCCCCCCCCTGGCCCCCAATGATCCTACGCCGCTGCATCTGCACTATATATTATAAATGCTGTCACATTTATTACCTGCACTAAAGACAGGGATGATACCTAGCATGAAATATTAGAAAAAACATTTCAATATTAATTATTGAAAGAGCAATTTTAGTCAACGCATTTCAAAATAGAAAACACGATTAAACAATTAAATTAGTAAATTAATTTACATATTAACTTATTAAACAGCGTCTAAATTAAATGATGGATTTTACTACATTTTCTTCCATGCCGTTACATTTATTCCTTGCACTAAAGACAGGAATAATACCTAACATGAAAAAGAAAAGAACAGACCTTAAAAAAGCTTAAAACCCAGGATAGCAGTCAGAATCTCATGTATCAATTGACACAAATTAAAGCTGCCACACTTCGTTTTTTATACACCGCGCCGTATAATTGTTTTGTTAATTTGCAAAGGTATAGACGGGTAAATATCGGTAGGAAGTGATGCAGGAGCATTTAGCAAAATTTTGCATGTATAGCTAGCGTCTTCCTATCCTGCATGATTTTTGTCAATCGGCATGTTTCAAGAGTTATACGTTTTCTTGTACTTAACTATGGGCGGTATGGAAATGTCAAATTTCTTTTATTGTATAATTGGGGGCATTTATGCGAACGAATTTAATCAAGCTGCGGCCTAATTAAATTAAGCCGCGACATAAATAAATCGCGAACGACTGCATGCATCATGATAGGCTTAGCAAGTCGCGGTTAAAATAAACCCAGGTTTGAATGCTAGGCATAAAATAAGCCGCGGCTTCAGTATTAATATTGCAAATTGACTGCTTATGCGAGTAATTCGCGACTGTAATACAATAATTAAGCCGCGAATTATTTTCGCTGACATGGCGCTATCGAGCAGGTGTAGTACTATATAGATGCGCTGTGAGACATTGTAATTAGAATTTATATAAATTCTCGTGTATCGCTTCTGTTGCGGCAAGTATCAACGTGTGTTTAACGGCCTTGATATGTTTAGTTCAAATGCATGCAGCCGGTTTGATAATTGTGTAAAATAGTATTCTATTTTTAAAATACTGAAAGGCACAAGTTAGCCACATCTGTTTTAAAATTGAATATTTATATTAGAATACTTATTCTCATTTAAAAAATTAATGGAACATTTTCCCATTTAAATTATTAATGGTTACGCGTGCATAAGTATCTGCATGACGCACAAATGCATTTAGTTGAAGGAAGATGGCCATAATATGGGAAATAATTAATATTCTACTTTCAAAAGATTGATTAAAGAGAGTCAAATTAAGGTAGGAAAAATTTTCCTTCGTTTTTAAAATGTCTTTCCTTTCCATACCTCTTATGCCAGAACGGATATAAACCTTTTACACTTTATACCATTACTGTGCAATGTATATAATTATTATATACATTCGTCTTGAATTTGCTTCCAGTTTGACTCTTCCAGCTCTGCCGGCTTCCACTGCTGTATGGTTACATACATCCAGTGCAGGACCTAAAACTTCCGCTTAGAGCTAATCGACAACTGGACTCTGATAAGCTGAGCTTGTTGCGCGGGCTGTAGCTATATGCTCAATTCCTGTCAGAGGTTACTTTTTCGTGGTTGCTCCTAGTCTAAATTGACGTATAAAAATTACGATCGAAATTTCTATTGACTAACAAATATTAGTATAAATCGAGTGAGAGGCCCAAACAGTCCTATATATGCCGCGGCATAAAAGTAGTCGCGAACGATTGGTATAAATGCTTGAATGCTATAGGGATAAAATATAGGCATCTTATTTTCGCTCGTATGGCCCTACCGTATACATAAGTGCATGCGTTGTCAGACATTATAACTAAAATGATATTTAAATGCTCGTACCGCTTGCTGCTCATTCAGTATACGCACACTTTTTTATAGCTGAATTTAAGTATATCAACATAACGCGCAGACACTTTGAGTTCAATGCAGCTGGCTTGATAATTGTGTAAAAGAATATAATTATTTCTTAAATATTAAAGCGAGTCAAATTATATAAGGCATAGGAAAAATCCATTCCTTTTTATAATTACTGTTAAGTAATATATTTTCCGTTGCGCTAGTTTACTAGGACGGACAAAGCTTTTTTACACACAAACCTTTTAGTCACCGAATGAGCTGCAGGTGAACTGACTACACACGTAAAAACGCACAAATTGTAACAAGTCTGCAAACAAGTTGTTACACTTCTGTTCACAAGCTGTCAACAAGTTGTGCTCGCACTGCTTGTTCCCAGTTTGTTGTAACAAGTTTGAAACAAGCTGTTAACAACTTGTAACAAGCTTGATGGCATTATCAGCCTTGTTACAAGATTGTGCTAACAAGTTTGTTATATAGGTGCATGCTATAAGTGCTATTGAACAACAAAACATATAAGACATATAATATAGGTGTAATCTATAGTGTTCGAAAGTTCGAACAACATTGTTATGTCTTATGACTAGCCTACTGATTAGTTCATATTAAAAGCTTCTTTTAAGTATAAAAATTCTAATACTATATTAGTATAATATAATATTATAGTGTTCAAGGACCATCTCTGGTTTGGAGGCATTTGACTCTGATTTTAAAGCATTTCAGGATAAATTCAGAAAATAGCTCTACTAACACTAAATCGTTGCATGACATGACGTGAGTCAATAAATTTTGTTTTGATTCAGTTGTAAGATTAATCTGGAAAACATTCTTTAATATATTGTTTGCATTGTTTCTGATGTTATTGTAACTCATGGGATATTCGAAGGAAAAGTGAAACTCGTCTTCTACTGCACCTGTGTTGCAAGTTTGACAATGCTTTTCTTCGCGTGGCATTTTTTGGTAGCGGTCATATACTCAATTAGAAATTTGTGATTACTTATTCGGAATTTTGTGAGCATCCGTCTTTGGGATGGATCTTTTATGAAAGTTAAACAATCTTCTTGATTATCATGCTTTTTAAATTTAGAATAGAATGATAGCTTTCTGAAATTGTCTATCAAGGCCGGCAAGAGGGGGGGGGAGGGGCAAGGGTGGTAAAATACCCGGAGTGCTCAGAGGGGCCCGGAAATCTCGGTAAAATGTTCGTATATTGTTTATATCATCGGCAATTTCCAGAGGGACAGGGGCCCGTGTTCACAAATCGTCAATTTGTCCCGGGGCCCGTGGTTGGCTCTCGCCGGCCTTGTTGTCTATCTGTTGTTTCCAAAACGAAATATATAGTTGTTTTTCATATTATCTACATATTATATAATTTATTTTTTTGTCTTTGAGGAATGTTTCCAGATCTAAAGGTTCACTAAGTGTATAAGGAAATGGCTTTTCAATATATGCACAATATTTGAGTAAAAAGAATCTTTCTCGTTTATGTATAGAGTTCTTTTTAAATGTAGAACGCTTGTTTTACAATAGATGAATCTGGTATTGGTATATGTTGTTGATATAGTTAAGAGTCTTCTTAAATATAGGGATTATTACTGGTAATCTTCCTAATACTCCTCTAATGGCAATGTTGCTGGCCTTTCTGTTCGCACCCAGATATAGTTTACAAAATTTTAAATGGGTTTTTTCAATTCCTGTTTTATCCCATTTTGTAAAATCGTTGTTAGCGTATGCCCCCCATACCTCTGAGTTATAGTAAGATGGGTGAGATCCACTATCAAAGATCTTACATGCAAGTTTTGGTCGTAAGCAGTGAAAATCAATGTTTTTCCGTATTTTGTATAAAGCATGCTTTGCCTTATCACTAAGTTGTTCGTTGGCAACTGTGAACGTTATATTAGGTGTTAATTTGAGACCAAGGTATAAGTCTATTTATTTGTAATAGAGACTGTATTGTTTCCTATGAATAAATTTAAGTTTTGTACTTTGTATTTATGTTTTTGTAAAATCACGGTTTTGGTTTTCTTATAAGGTTAACATCCATCATCCATTTTTTTGCTCCATGTATGAAGTACGTTCAAATTATTTTGGAGACCGGATTTTGACTTGAAGAGTATAACGAGGTCGTCTGTATAGAGTAAACTGCTTATCGTTGTACTATTTGGTAATACAAATGGATCAGAATTTGTTTCTTCAAGTAGTTTTGGAAGTTCATTTATATAGATATTAAATAAGAGGTGACTTAAAACACAGCCTTGCCGAACTCCTCTGTGATCTGCACATCGAGTATTCGAGTACATGTTCGTACTCCTATTTTATTGTCTAACAATTTATAGAAAAGGCCATCGTGCCAAACTGAATGGAAGGCCTTTTTGTATCTGGGCGGAGCGCTAGATACTATGCTATCGAGTTGTGTGTGTGTGCGTGTTCGTGCGTTAAACACTCAGGTCGACTAATTAGGGCTGTACGCCTGCGAACAGGCCGTAAAACAAAGATGGCGGCTTTCTACAGAGTGACGAGTATTTTATATTTTGCTTTGGCTATGGATATAAGTCAAAATTATCCGATAAAAACTTTTTGTTATATCTTAGAAGATGCCCAAAATAACATCGTAAAGCTTTAGGTGAGTAATCGTGCATGCTTTTTTAATAATATCGATTGTCTATTCATAATTAATATATACTGCATGACTACTGACAGTATGGGATGTCTAAATTTTGTTTACATATGGTACATTTTATATATTGTCACAGCATTCAGAATTATTATTTAGAATTTGCTATATAGTGCATTAGTCACAGGGCATCTTAGGATTATAGGATTGCTTCATAAGCTGAGTTAAAGTTAATAAAAAAAAATACAAATCGGAAAATACACACCTTAACCTGTGCAAAAAGACACGCCTTAAGGTGTGTGAATTTGGCGACAGAAGGTGTGTTGAAAATACACACCTTATTTTTTAGAGTGTATATCTATAACAGATTTTATACTAATTTTAACACTGCAGTGCCAATGAAAAACCGACTCTATCCCTGAACGAGCCTCGTTGCATCATTAGAGTCAGGCTGCTCCATGCATTTGCTGTTTGGAGTATACTCCGGGTTTTCGGAAGACTAATAAAATCGAATCGAACACGGTCACGTGACTGCATGTTCGGGCTGCCCTTACTCAAAAGTAAGGCCAGCCAGCACAGTCAATATGTGTCCGTTTACGTATAGGAAGACTTTAAGGATTTACTGCCTCAGGGCCTACATGGTTGCATTTTTCACAGCTGTTCCTGGTAAGGCCTAAAAATGTATATAATTTGCACTCGGAATTTCCATGTATAAAAATCCTTCATCTTATGGAAATCACCACGATAGCATAACGCTCAGTTATTAAAAAGAAGCCAATTGTTAGTATAGGTAATCATGCGATGGCGAGTACAATTTGGGATTAATAGTACGAGTGATGTTTGGAAATTTTGCCAAAATTGGACGAGCCGCCGGGGGGAGTAGAATTTGGCAAATTTCCAAACATCACGAGTACTATTAATCCCTAATTGTACGCGAAACATCGAAGGATTACTTGTTTATTATTAGCATGACAAAATTGGATACGTACTTCTCAATGTCAACATCATATTCTCTCGCCAAAGCCCAGTTCTGCCACACTTTCAACCAAAATTTGGTGCTTTTGTTTGTATTTCCATTTAGTTCTTTTGTTCAAGCAAAATTTGGTGCTTTTGTTAGTATTTTCATCTAGTTCCTTCACGACAATTTCATTTCAAGCTTGTGTTTAAAATACCTTTCCGCCATTTTGTTTGTTTTGGGGAAATCATTAATTGTACTGCAGTACAATTATTGAAATAATTGTACTCCTCTCAACCAATCAGCATCCAGTAATTTTGTCATGCTAATAATAAGAGGTATTATAGTTGGTTTGATATATATCTACATAAGATAACGTAAAATATTGCAATTTATGATTTTCTGTTTCCAAATGACGTGATTATGCCTCTACCTAGGTGTACACAACAACATTTTCATCTGAATTCTTTTTCACCAAAAAAGCAAACTTCCAAGTTAAAAACATTTAAAAAAAAGTCGAGTTGAGTTGATTCTTTCAAGATTTTTCGGGTTTTCAGAACTATAGAAACAACATCATAAATTCAATCCATTTAAATATCAAACTAACTATATTATCTCATTAACGATGAATGCCGCATGACATCGAAATGGCGCCAAAACATGTATACAAAAAGGATTTAAGTAATTTGAAACGTTAAAAAACATTACAAAATGTGGTGAAAATACAAGAATAAGTGCTGAAAAATTCAGTAAAACTTATCTATAGTATACTTCAAATGCAAAGTACATGTTATATGTTTTGTCTACACAAATTAATCTAGTTATCCAATTGCTGCAATTAGCTATAGTTTTCTGTTGGTTACGAGTTCATGTCGCTCTATTCTGAACGGCCATAGGCATATTAGGTATTGCTTCGGTGTTTTCTGCAATCTATATCAGTATATCTGGATTCTTTCTTTCTTTCTTTCTCCGCAATATTAGCTAGTAAGCAAGCCAGGCGGCGGTCCAACCTTCCAATGGATGACTATTTTTGAAACTTTGACCGAAGGAAATTTCAATAAATTCATTTTTACTCCAAAATTTGATCTTTGCCTGCTGTCGCTTAAGCCACATTGTTACCATAGCAACACACAATTTGCTTCGTTCGAACTATTATAAATGCTTGAAGTATAAATATTACACAGGCGTTTGTACTTCCAAAAAAATCCCCACTTCACATAAATAGGTAATATTTTGCGTCTTTGTGTAGACCTTATTTTTCGCTACTGTTTCTTCACAACTGTAGGGAGCCACCTTAAGTGCGAAACATATTCTCGCGACTACTTTATGCTTATCCATGAGAGCCAGAGGAATGATGCAGGTTTTTCGATTTCACTGCCACAGAGCTATCCTCAAGGGAACCAGTACACTCTAAAAACATCCTGGTTAAATTTAACCAATATGGGGTTAAATTTTAACCAGGAAAGTATTCCATATGGGACCGACGCATTCCTGGTTATATTAACCAGGAAATCCTGGTTCCATTGATTAACCAGTTATTCCTGGTTAATTTAACCAGGAAACATCCTGGTTAAATTTAACCAATATGGGGTTAAATTTTAACCAGGAAAGTATTCCATATGGGACCGACGCAGTCCTGGTTATATTAACCAGGAAATCCTGGTTCCATTGATTAACCAGTTATTCCTGGTTAATTTAACCAGGAATTACTGCTAAAATTTTGACTTGTATCCCAGTTAAATTTAACTTGTTAACGGATCAAATTTATAATCTGATGTTCCTTGCTTCTTTGACATGTTTTTCAACACAAAATTCGTACTGAACAGGGTTTATTTTTAGAAAAATTCACATAATATTGTTAAGTACTAAATTAACTAAATAATTGTCTTGTTTTTAATTTAAATCAAGGATCACGCAAGAGGTTATTGTAGCTAATATAAAAATATTTTCAAAAACCTCTTATATGATCCTTGATTTAAATTAAAAACAAAACAATTATTTAATATGAACAGAGGTGAAAGTTTCAGAAAAACAATTAAATTAACTAATTTAACTATTGGAAGGTTTTTGTAGTTTTAACACTGCATGATCGCCAACAAAGCCATTTACTTTAAAGCTGCTCTCATTGCAACAACAGCTGGGGTTGTCTTTCCTTTCACCTTATCTTCGATGCCATAGAGAACTTTTTGTATGAATTCCCACGACGAAGAGCATTGCCAAGGATAATTAATATCCAGGATGTAAAATACTTTAAAACAAACATCAATTGCCTTCGTAAGATTAGGCTGCTCCAAGCCCTGGCCTTCGATGATAACAAAAACTTGTGTTGGGTTGTAGCGATTACCGATTGCCAAAACAAACGGGCATCTTGGAGCTTCTTCTAAATATTTTGGCATGTTTGTACCAACCTAAATATGAGAAATATTTTAGACCTTTATACGCAATGTTCCGAGTTATCATACTTTAAATGACATATGATAATGCATACCGGTTGGCAATCGATAAAAGCACTCAAAGCTTCATCAATTGTACATCGTTTTCTATTCTTTCTTCCAGTTGGGAACACGCATGGAAGAAGACCAATTGCTGCATTTTTTCTCTCTTCATCTATAAAGTTTATTTTGAACCACTGCTTTCAATTTGAAAACTGAATTTAGACCTTTGATGCGAAACCATTTCCTATACTAGCTAGTTATTATACTTTTCTTACCAGATTTCAAATTCCTTGGAATCATGTGCAAGTACGTCGTCCACTTCTCTGCTTGTGTGTCTGCATACGAAATAATCTTCTCCACAATTGGTGGTGTCAATCGCAGAAAGAGGTTCTCTGCAACATCTGCGTATAGTGTTCTAAAGTCTATTTCCACCTAAAATATTAGTAATAAAAACGAATTTGTATAAATAATGTATATACATAATTCCAGGAATGTTTCAAAATTTTACAGTACCATGCCAGGGGTATCGAAAAGACGTGGGTATTCCTTCATAACTTCTCGCATTGGAAGATCTGGGGTTTTCCTTATCCATTCTGCTCGGTTTAAAACCGTTTTTTCCATATAGTTCTTTAAAGTTGATAAAGGTTCTAAGTTTGCTTTCATCCACTCCTTCATCCCATTATGGTCTGATTCATTCAAAACAGAATCTATTCGAAAACAGATGAAGACACAATTTAATATATCCATCATGGAAATTAACCCCAAATAGGATAATTTTAAATGAACGAAATCAACCTGGTAAAGATGTTGTCAGGTGTGTTAATGAGGTTGAAGCTGTATTCAGATCTTTTTCAGTTGGACGGTGTTTAACACTCTTTCTCCTTACATTTCGGAGTCGTTCTTCCAACCATCCTGTAGCAGAATGAGTTCCCTTTCCTGATGTGTACCACGCTTCCTATATTCAAAGAAATACAGTTAATTATTATGTTCCACTTTATAACCTGATGATGGCGTCAAGACGGACTCCGTTAAGACACTCTCGATTCGACATTACACATTCAGGGGCCAGTTGTATCAAGCCCGGATAGCGCTATCCACCGGATAGTGATTTTTTGAAGCTTTCCAAAACTGGCTGTTTTCTTGTATAACCCAGATTAAATCTTAATATATTTATAAATTGGAGTTTCTTTTATCATTTGTGGGCTCTATATCAGTAGTTTTATAGCTTTTAAAGCACTTTTATGCGGGTTGAAAATTTGACTATCCTGTGGATAGCGCTATCCGACCTTTATACAACTGGCCCCAGATATTTACAACAACATACTTACATATCCTTGACCCTCTTCATCTTTAAGGAAAGGGAACTCCTCTACCACTGACTTTGCCATCTGGATTTTAACGTCTGCATGGGGTCTATATTAAGAGATATCCCAGTTTTATTTTTCAAGCTGGACAATATTGGCTATGTGCCTGTAATTACACACAGATTATTTGAAAGAAAGTACATTTTGATGACAAATTTCACACACCTCTCTCCAAAGCGATTAATTATGTAAGCAACCAGTATCTGAACCATCTTGATTCTGCTTTTTCTGCTTAATATATCAGTATCCAGTTCACTAATCACTTGTACTCCAATTTCCGACTCTTCCAAAATTGATCTGACATTCTTTGGTGGAAAGAAGAAAGCATTTCAAAGCTGTGTATCGCAATTCATTGTCGTTCTTGTGTCCATACTTACAAAATTCATCCTCGATTTCTTTGTTGGTTGAACGTTTTGAGTGCTAGCGCTCTCAGAAAGTGCCTGGTCGATAGCTAGAGGCCGCTTTTGTTCATTTTCGATGGGTTGATCAAGATGTTCGGGGCTTGCAGGTGCCTAGATAGGATGAAATATTAACATTGTAAGTAAACTGATTATGCAATTATAGCAATCGTAAAGAGTTTTTTTTGCATTGTTCAAAATCAACATTTACTTTCAAAATATTTAATAAATTTTACACCGTAGCAGTATATCTACGAGTTCAATAAATTCAGAACACAAAATATGCTACTACTAAATTAAAGCCTATACACCTATAAGAATCTTCAATAGGATTTTTATCAGGCCTAGTTAACAAATATGGAATTAACATATATTCGGTCAAGTCATTCATACCTAATTCGGTAAATGTGATGCACATACATTTTAGTCCTTCTTATTGTTAGTTTAATTTATTACGAAGGTTTCTCAGATGACGAGCGGTTTCAAGGAATGCGGTGACGAAGTACGACATGAGATTGCAAGTCTTCTTCATTGTAGGATTCTGAGGCATGACATGGGAAATAATCGTACAAATCATTTACAGAAATGAACGAGTACAAGGGGTTATTCGGCTGTTCAATCGCGTACGAATGAGTATGTCGATGGTACTCGATTGTTTTCCATCCCTGTGTTAGAAGGTGTACTCCATTATTTTCACAAACAATGACATAAAGAATCTGTTGAAACACGGGAAGCATATCATCACTTTTTCCAGTAATAACCAAAAGATTCTTGCTATATTTAATACCATGAAGCACACACCATTTTGCAACGTAAACCATATCAAACATGTGGACCCCCAAAGCTCTGACAATCAAATCTGCTCCATCCAATGATTCAACCATCTCTTGTGATCCAGGTCCGACTTCCAAGTCTATTTCTGCAAGGTCTCGTCCGCTCATAATATTATAACAGAGAAACATTTGTTGCCTGAAACTCAGGGTTTTCAAAATGTTTCTAAAATTACATACAATATGGCCTAAGCGTTTGAAGAATCGGTGTTTTGCTTCAAATCGAATCGTCCAAAAATTAATTAATGGTCCCAAAAGTCGCATCTGATGGGGATAATGGGTCATGAAGTGATGCTTTGGTTTGAGTGTGCGATCTGGAAATATCTCGAGAAAGTACTCATGGTGCTCTTTTATAAGGTGCTTTACGAAGTATGTTTCCTCCGTTGTAATCTCGGGACAAAATATGAAATCCATACATTCTATGAGCAGAAGAAGGAGTTCAAAGAATGGATGTCCTTCAGGAACTTTGTCACCAATGAGAAGAGGAAGGTTCCGAACAAGACACCACATCTGTGAAGCCGTTTGCCCGGACGCACCGTCTGGTTGTTGTAATCTGTTGTTTGAAATTGGACTTGGCTTGTTTTTCGAATCGGTTGCTGAATAATCGAAACTGGTGATGCGGCTGTTTAATAAATCCAGGTCAAATAGGTCTTCGCGAATTAATTGCGCTAGTACTAGATACACTTCGAGGCCACAAACACCTTCCAGCAAATCGTGCATGATGTCTGGTGCATAGTTGGTGGTGACATGAAAGTTTTCAACTTCGTTGAAAATACAATATGATTTAATACCTGTCTCTGTGTAATTGTTGAGTTCCAAGTCTTCTTCATATTCATGGACACTACGAAGTTGTTCCTGGCAAGCTGTCGAACTACCCTGCATCTCGTTCCTATGCATGTTGCAATGCCTACAATAATGATTGCTAACGAAACTCTCCACGAATCCTAAAATACCGTTCACTCCAAGGTTATCGCCTGTTACTTGAGCGATTCCAGCATAGACAGTTCCTTCAAAATCATTGGTGGTAATGGAGAGTCCCTCCTGTTCGAGAAATTTGATATCATCAACAAGTGGTTGTAAGAAAGGAGCATAACCATATGTTTTCACATCACCAGCATTGAAGAGAGAAAGTAGAAAACAGTTGTTTAGAGAAGAACGAAATTTTGGAGGTAAATTCAATATGATGAAGTAGACCATTGTTATCTTGTGTAAACCGGCCTTCGAGCCTAGAGGATTCGCCACTTCACAATCGTCAACGAACGGAAGTAATTTGATGGTATTTTCCTTGGAGAAAAATTCATGTTCTTTGCAGAAATCACCATCATGAAAGTCTCTCATTACGCCATCTTGACTAGGGTGATGCTCAGTTATTGCGTTCATAAATCCCTTGCTTTCGAGAATGCATTTCAAAAGATCACGCAGTGGAATGTATTGGAATGTAACTTGCTTGGCAACTTGTTCTACATGGCCTGTATCGCGATTATATCGGGGATGGTAAGCGACACCCACTGGAATTTCACGTGGCGTTACAAAATAACCACTACTTTCAAAGTATTTTTGCTGTTGGTATGCAGTCTCTAAATTTTCAAATGGATTTTCGCACTGGTCAAAAATGGCCATGAGGTTTTCTCTCTCTGGATCATCAGGATCGATATTTTGACTGGTCAAATACTGCTCGGTCTTAAATTTTAACCTGCTAATAATGTTAGAAAATAGCTCTGTGCTTCCGGCCACAACGTGGTCAACCGTTGATTGCACAGCGCTGCTCGAGGCTTTCATCTTGGCCAAAAATAGTGCAGCTGAATTGGTGACATCTAATGAAAACTCTTCCTGATCTACATGGACTTGAGGATCCAATGCAGGTAATTGGTCTTCACCATCTTCTTCCATGTTCTCATTAAATTCTCCATTTCTTACAAGGACATGTTCAGATTCAATGTGCCTTCCTAAAGCTTTAGGGTAGCGAAAAGTACGCAGGCAACCATCTTGGCCACATTTAACAGATCTTGTAAACATCCACCCATTTACCAACACGTGCTCGTTTTTCAAGTGCCATATCAGCCCTTTTGTTGTTTGTGATATAAGCTGGTTGCATTCGGAGCAAGTGAATCCTGGCATTTCACTACATTACAATAATCAAAAAGAACTCCATTTAATTTATATTTTTGAGATAAATATTCAGTTCCAGTTTTATTGAACCAGTATGAAAACATTACATAACAGCTATTTTCAGGCCTCGACCGACAATAAGAATGAACCTATGCTACGATAAAAATTAGAGATTCGCTAGAAGCCTGGAATATGTTATATTTTATCCCGAAAAAAATTTTGAAGAATGATCTAAAATTATTTTTATTATAATATTCCTGACCAGATTTTTCCGATAATACGTCACACTTGTAAGTAAAGATGACGGATTGAGCGTATTGCAGTGAAATCGACAATCGAAATATTATGCTACAAAGTCTTCTAACTCCACCATTACAGTCTTGGTACTTTACGAACAAATTTTGGGGCGCAATGTTGAACGTTAATCAAAACTGCCAATACAAAAATAATAACCTTGTTTACAAGAGATTTGGTTGTAGACGTCAGCGCATGTCAGCAATGACCTTAGCATAGTAATGATCATACCCTAGCCGTAATAGTAATAGCCACATTCCCATGAAGTTGTGATTTGTCACATAACTATCGGAAAGGTCTATAGCAAAAATACTGAATAGACCTTTCCGGTAATTACGTCACGGCTAACACTATTTTCAACTTAGGACCACCTTAAATGGAACGGATTTTAATTCGGGGCCATATTCAGAGAAGCAGAACATGCTTCGTCAACACATGCATAAAAAATAATTTTGGATTTTGACTATTAAATATGGAAATAACCTTAAAAACGAAAACGAGGCTAAGGGGTCTGGCCCCTTAGCCTCGTTTTCGTGTTTAAGCTTATTTCCACATTTATTGGTCAAAATCTAAAATTCTTTTTTATGCATGTGTTGAAAAACGATGTTCTACTCCTCTGACCATAGTACATGAGAAACAATGTAGTTGTGAAAACAATGTAGTTGTGACGTAATTACCGGAAAGGTCTATTACTGTGGTCAAAGTTGTTATTTTCCGTTGACGTTTATTGACGATGGATTTTTTAGATTTTGAAAGAACATACTAAAATAAACCGCTTGGCTGTTTGCTGTTCTATGCTAGCTCTCTTGACTTTTTATATAGATTCAGTGTCATTGGGTTGCTTGTTTTTTTGTGATATATTACAACCAACCATAGCTCAGTTACTATTATTTTATTCACTTATAAATATAATTTTGCACCCAGTTATTAGGGGATGATGGGACGCATTGAAAGACATTTCTAATTTTGTTGCAGTAGGAACAGATTCGTTCCCAGGCCCCTTTCACTGACTTTTTAATTTGGCTTTAAAACGTGTTAGAAAAATCCGTTGCCAATACTGTTTTAATAAAACACATAACTATTGAGAGATTTGAGACTCCGTAAATCGTTAACATTTTTATTCTATACGTTTCGACAAGTGTTACATGTCATCTTCAGTAGAAGTCAGGCAGTCTTTTCTTCAATACTGTTTAATTTTTTATACCGCTGGAACATGGAAAGCGCACTCGGACATCTAGCAAAGGTAGGCGCCTTCGGAAACCCCTTCCGAAGAACTTCCGAAGATAGTTTTCTGACAGCCGAAGTTATTTTGCGTGTTTCGTGGGTTTTGCGTGAAATCATGGCGCTGCACTCAATTTCATGGATCACTATCTATATTTTATTCAAAATAATTATATAAAATCAGTTTTGATTGATGCAAGTACACAAATTTAGAAAACAACATGTGACTGGTTTGGCGAAACTTGAAAGTAAGTGCGGTATATTTCTATATTACATGTGTATTTTGTACATATATCTGTAATTCTTTAAATAATAAATATAGACATAGTTTTAATATTGGTCTTAATTGTTATATAAAAATAGTAATATATGTATAAAGCCATAATATAAAACATGTTTCATGAAAACAAATGTTTTGTGCAATTACACATTTGGAGGGGGGAATAATATGTTCCTTCATAGGTGTATGGGTCTCATTTTTTGTTCGGTGGGGGGGGGGTTGCAATGAACATTTTCCCCAACTGCCTCTGAAAATACATGACTTAATTGCTTAGCCTCCCTCACATAATACCTCTCATATAACCATATACACTATTGGTATGATCTGTTTCATATCAATGACAGCAGAACATATTCTATTTGGGGGGGGGGGAATTTTTAAGGAAGTTAATTATATATCATATAGTTTTTGACTGTTCTCAAAGCTGATCAAGCAGAGAAATTTTTGAAATTTAATGTCTGTAGAATGACCGTACTTTCCATCTTCGGAAAGTGGCATTTTCAGAGTCTATCTTCATGCGATTAATGAAATTATTTGTTACAGAAATATCTAGCTATTTATAAGAAATATATTTTGAAAGAAATATCTAGCTATTCTGATATTTAAATATCACAGATATTTGAGTAAAATTTATTTAGTTTAGATTGTTGATGTATTTTTTGGGGGATACAGTCCTCAACCCCCTCCCCCATTCCATCAGCCCTGCTTCATATGTGCTTACAGTCGTGCCAATATAGAAGCGTTCCGAAAATTGTTGACCAATTCATTTCCTAACTCCGAGCTGTTCCTGTGATCAATTCGTTAAAATTTTGAAAACTTCCTTCAAAAGTTCATAACTTCCTGTTTCATTGACCAAACAAATTTTGTATTTTATTTTTGAGCAATCTGGCTGCATTAGGCTGCATTCATTATGTATACTACAGGGGGGGGGCAGAGGGGGGATCTCAAAATTTAGTGACTAAAAAAGGGGGATGCCAAGTGTGTTTCTTAATGTGAAGGGGGGATGCTAATTTTTGACTTCAAAATTAATTCTGATCCACAGAATTTTCTTTGTTGAGGAAAACTGAAACCCTGGTAAGAGCTAGCTGGTCACGTGATCTGCAAAAATCTAGCAGATTTATAATTAGATTTTAATATGCAATTTCCCTAGTTTAACAATATGCAATTTAGCTAGTGGAGGCCTGTAAGTGCTTTCCACCCCCTCCCTGAAACAACACAGCTTAACGCTTACTAGAAATCTGCTAGATTTTAATAGCAGATCATGCACCCAACTCATACCAGGGTTTTTCTCCACTACCGAAAAAGTCTCTGGGAATATGGTTGGTCAAATACAAGAGACCTATTATATTATATAGTTAATGTTTTATAATTTGTTACAAGGAAAAACTATTACGCATTGAGAGTCGGTATGAGATTTGCTCATATATAGAACTAGGGATTTTCGGTACCGTATACCGAAATTTTCGGTATACCGATGAGTTTTTCTGTCATACCGATATACCAAAATTCATGCATACGGGGAAACCATCAATTTTTGTTTTATTACAACGCAACGTAAAAGAAGTAGACATTTTGTGTTGAATACAATACACCCTCTCAATAATTACATCATTTGACCTGGGAGGGTCACTCTCATGAATCATAAGTCAATCGTCTTGCATCTTTTACTCATAAGAGGGAGCCTCCCAGGCCAGAAAGCAATTCGTGATGTAATTATCCAAAGGGTGCATTTCTGTCTACGCTTGTTCCCTCCTAGTCTCCTTCGCAGCCTGTTCGCAGGTGCACTAATTCCCTCCAAGCAGCTTCGAAATTATCGTAATAATTTGCTATCCACTAAATTTTCCCATCTAATTAAAACAATGGAAAAACCTGAATACCGATAATATCGGTATTATTTTTTTGGTATACCTATACCAGAAAATTCTCATACCAAGCATTCCTACATAGAGCATTTGAAATGTATTTTGAGAAGTATCGAACAACGGGGGGGGGGTGATATTTTTCTGAGTATGAAGTAGGGGGAGGGTTTAAAAAATTGTTTTGTAACTTGGGGATCTCAAAAATTTAGCTGGTTTAAAAAAGATCCCCTACCCCCCCCCCTGTAGTATAGATCATGAATGCAGCCTTAATCGGATGAAGATAGACTCTGAAAATGCCACTTTCCGAAGATGGAAAGTACTGCCATTCTACAGCCATTAAATTTCAAAAATTTCTCTGCTTGATCAGCTTTGAGAACAGTCAAAAACTATATGTTATAAAATTAACTTCCTTAAAAATTCCCCCCCCCCCAAATAGAATATGTTCTGCTGTCATTGATATGAAACAGATCATACCAATAGTATATATGGTTATATGAGAGGTATTATGTGAGGGAGGCTAAGCAATTAAGTCATGTATTTTCAGAGGCAGTTTGGGGAAAATGTTCATTGCAACCCCCCCCCAAACAAAAAATAAGGAGACCCATACACCTATGAAGGAACATATTATTCCCCCCTCCAAGAAAATGGAGACCCCATACACCTATCAAGGAACATATTACTGTTACTAAATTCTGATTTGTTTCTGTAACATGCAGTTTAAACATGAATGTTCTATGTTGATTATTTATATTGATGTATGTTTTCAACAAATTGAAAGCTAGCTACAATGTGTAATTGCACAAAACATTTGTTTTCATGAAACATGCTTTATATTATGGCTTTATACATATATTGCTATTTTTAAATAACAATAAAGACCAATAAACTATGTCTATATCGATCTATATTTAAAGATATATGTACAAAATACACATGTAATATAGAAATATACTGCACTTACTTTCTTAAACTATACTATTTTTTTAAAGTTAACATTAACACACCTGAAATTCTTTTAACTTTTTTTGCAGTTTGATACGCGGTCCAACAGGTATTTCCATCTCTTTTAAGGCGTCTTGGTTCAGCAGTAAAAATGCTTCTTCATCGATCATATTATCTAGAGAAAATGCTAGTGTTTATATATTGAATGACTTTAAAGCGACAAGAAGATGTAGTTTAATTCATGCACAGCGAAGTCCGCTGAAGTCGAGTGGGAATTTTTTTACCTCCGTTTAATTAAACAACAAAAAAAACTTTTAAATGAAACAATACATTGTTAAGAGCATGAACTTACCTTCAAGAACATTTGTCAGGCAGGAGAGATTCCACTCGTCAAGTTTTTTTTCGACAAAACTGTCCATAATACTCTTAAAAAGCCGCAACTTTATACTTTGCACAGTTTTCAACAAGCGAAAAAAATATAAAAGGGCGGGAAACCAGAAGCGGATAGTACAGCGGACCCAAGAGCAAATTGACAAATATTGAAGAAAATCTGATAATCAATATGTGTTAGAATAGACTTTAAATGTTATTTGTCATTCAAACCCCTTACAGCTGTGGGAACAATTGGAAAAATATATACCTTATTTTTTTATTCTATTGTTATTAATAATGGTAATTGACAGAGTGGAGTTAAATATGGTTGGAAATCAAAGCCGTGACTGCAAAATTTCACGATCGCGCAGAATTGTGGAAAGGGAAAGCAGTTTTAATTAAAATATAGCACACCATTGCCACTCCCATATTTGGTGGCATAGCAACAAGACAAGTATAAAATATCTTGTAAATTCACGATTTGTATTTGTATTAAAACATCTATCCAAGATTTAAACGCTATGATGGTAAGTTTTACACTGTTATACCATTTTCAAGTATTTAAATCAAGGATCATTGTAATGCTTTCAAACATCGACACAACTCACAACATGAAGTCAAAAACAATGTTTCCAAACATTTTCCCCATTGGGCTATCCCAATTATTATCTGCATCGCCCCTGTTGAAGAACCTTGGAATTTCCAGGGGAGAGGGCACATTAACCATGGAATTTCCAGGGGATACTAGGGAAGGAGTAATTCTCACATGAAATTTCCAGACGGAGGGGTATAAATTTCAAGGGATGGGAATTCCATGCGAAGACATATTTTAGAGGGAAATTTCCGGAAATAAATGTCCCATGATAGAAATTCCATAGGGAGGGGTAATTTACACATGGAAATTCCA